GTGTTGACACCTATCATATATGAGCTTGTTTGTGTGTATGTGTAGGTATGTAAACTTTGGCTTGTGTCTACTGCCGCGTGTGTAAGTCTATGTGTGTATATATGTATATGTATGTGTATTTGTGTGTGTGTGTATATATGTATATATATGTATATGCGAGTGTGTGTTTATATGTATATATATATATATATATGTATGCGTATATGTATATCGATACGGGTATTTATACATGATTATATATTCGTATAGTGACAGACTTCAACGCAATCTTCATGCCCTGAAAACCCCAGTGTCCACTTTTATATTTTTTCTCTTTCTTTCTTTCTTTCTTTCTTTCTTTCTTTCTTTCTTTCTTTCGAACCACATCCCAAAGGTGCTGCTATGGGATTGAGATCTGCTGTATCATTGCTGAGTCTCATGTAACCAATGTACTACCTATTTTTTTTAAATTTTGGACACGGTGCGTTGTCCTGCTAGAAGTGGCCACCACAGAATGCGTGTACCGTCCTCATAAATTGAGGCACGTTGTCAGCCACCATACTTCGGTATGCTGCGGCATTTAAACTGACTTTTATTGGCAGCAAGGTCCCAATATATACCAAATAAAATATTCACTTTACCATTACTTCAATAGAAAATTGCAATATTTTTTTGCAGAACTGTAGCGAACTGTAGCCTTAGTATCTTGTTCTTATCTGATATGAGTGGCACCCGGTGTGGTTTTCTACTACTGTACCCCACTTGCTTAAAGGTTCGATGTGTTGCGCATTCAGATGGTATTTATCAATTCACCCACAGGAATTGAATGTGGCACAAGGCCTTTTTAATGTGGGTATGTCCGAGCCCGTAGGCCCAGCCAAAAATAAAACCCATCTAAACCCGTCCAAGCGGGCTAGTTCCGTCAACCTCCCCGAACGAAACCCCACCCTTCGGCGGAGCCTCGTCCGGGTTCCTCTCTGCAAGCAGAGAGTTCGACAGACACCCGACCCGGCAGCTCACAAAGCGCAGATACTACACTTTGATCCTAGCCACCGGGCCGAGCGGGTATTCTTTTTTTAGATAGTGTTGCGCATTCAGATATACGCTTATGCATACTTCTGTTATAAAGAGTGTCTATTTGAGCTGCTGTTGCTTTTCGGTCAACCTAAACCAGTCTGGTCATTCACTTCTGACCTTTTGCATTAACAAGGGATTTCCGTCCACAGAATTGCCACTTACTAGAATTTTTTTCTTTTTCTGGCCAATCTTTCGCTTGTGTTTGAACATCATAGTCAATCTGTAGTTTGTGAAATACTAAGATTCATCTGTCTGGCACCAAGGACTATGTCGCGCTAAAAGTCACTTTATTTACCTTTTCTTCTAATGAAATTTAGCAGGTCACCATGACCCTGTTTAAATGCTTGCATCCATTAAATGGCTGCTACGTAATTGGCTGATTATAAATTTGCATAAAAGAGCCTTTGTTTCCGTGTGGCCAGTAAGTGCATATACAAGGTACTAAATAAAAGTTCGAGAAATTTAAATGCGTACTTTAATAGGTTCTATTATAGTACAGAATTTAGCCGCTACGTTTTGTTAGCAGTTTCTTTATGAAGTCCGCAGATTTAATTTTTGTTAACCGTTATCGGCATTTATCTCTCTAGGGACCTTTTTTCCAATGTCAAATTTTACAGACTTTTGGGTAGCACTTGTGATATATTAGTTTAGTCTAAAACATACTTGATGAGCTTTTCCGCTATTCTGTTTCAGGGACATATTTTTATAGTGTTTTGTCGAATACTTTTATTAAACCTTGGGTCCATTATGCACGTCTGAAAGACGATAGTTCTGTTAAATTCAGTAATTATAGCAGTTATAAAATAACTACATTTATCCTTATTTTTATGAAAAGGTTTCTTAAGAAAATCACGATTAAGTCTTATTTCAATTGGCTTGAATATGTGGCATTTCAAATTTACAGACATTCTAGCAGTGGAAGATCTTAATTTGATTTTCTCTGGAAAATTTTAGCCTCGGATTCACTGGATTTTCTAACGTCCTATGCAGCAAAAGGAAGCAATATTACAATTTATGACATAAAAGAGGAAAGCAATTCCAAAGATATATTTTGATCAATATCCGAGGGAAATTTTGTTAAAATTTTGATTTTTATCGAAAATAATGAATAGAAAGTTTTACTCATTTTACATTATGGATTGAAAAGTTTATTTGTAGGCATTATGGATGGAAGGGTTTATTTTTATGACATTATTAATGGAAGGGTTTATTTACATGGTATTATGAATTGGGGAGGGGTATATTTGTGTGACAATATTAATTGAAGTGTTTATTTAGGTGGCATTATTAATGGAAATATTTATTTATGTGAAATATGAATGAAGGGGTTTATTTATTTGTCATTATAAGTAGAATGGTTTATTTACCTGACATATATACAAATATAGCCAACCTCCTCTCTCTCTCTCTCTCTCTCTATCTATCTATCTATATATATATATATATATATATATACAAGAAAAATTAAAACCGTTAGTGGAACCAACGCACAAAGTGCTCTACACCTGTATTACCTAACCAGAACAAAACGTTATATACATACATACATACATATATATATTTAGTTTTTGTCCTTGAAGCAATATACATCAAACAGTTGAAACCTAACTTAAACAAAATCAACTATGGAATCTCTACAAATATCCTTAAATGTCTATAATTGGTAACAGAAGTCATTGGTTTATACCAGCGGCTTCCCATACTTAATACTTCTCGAATTCACTCTCGCGTGGTCATGTGTGACGTCATGAACTGCGGTGCGATTTTCGCTTCTAGCGTCTTATATACACGTGTTTATCGTTGCTTGGAAATCATCCAGGTAAACACTAACAGACTCTCATCACTGTCTTGTCCGTATATTGCTTAATATATTGTACTGTAATTGTTATCTTTGATAATGGCTTATGTAAACCGAAAGCTTAAATTGAATTAAAAAATATGGATCAATATTGTGATTTTCTTTCTTCGTTTAATGATAATGTTATTAAGCTTATCGGACGTTATGAAAAGAATTTGCATAAAATAAATAGACAACACTTGTCTATATTATTTAATGAAACATGTATGAATGAAAAAATGCTGCCTAAATACACACACACAATATATATATATATAAAATGATGAAAAATATCAAAATTCAAAATGTATTATGTATTGTGATAGTATCGTATATAATAAACACATATACTCAGAGCAAGAGAGAAAGATAGATCTTGTAATGTTTCATATAGCAATTGAAAATGTAAGATTTCAGCCTCATCAAATATTATTTATTCCGTCCAAGTTCTTTTATGACTTTAGATTTGTGCTAAAGTTGTCTTAGTTCCGCAAATATCAATATATGTTTTTACTTTTTAAACAAAGTTTTATTTAACTGAGTTTTATAACAATCGACCAACTAAAATTACAGAGAACATCAAAAGAAAGAGAAAATTATTTTTATCTAATTAAAACAAATATAATACAATGCATGTCCATAGATAAAAGAAATCAATAATAACTTTATGATATCCGATGTATCTTTACCAAGCAATTGAACGTAGAATTGGCTGCGCTGGAGATAGTTTTGCCCCAAACCTCAAGTTGTTACAAAACCGAAATATTGAGCTAAGAATTCGAGTCATGTTCTTAAATAGCCTCATCAGATCTAGATCTCCTATGGATATCACAGGGTCAAAATCATTAAAAAATGCCTAAACTATCAGCTATGTACAACCGCTTTCACAGACCAATGATTTAAAAAGCTTCAGCCGAATTAATCCTCCAGGTAATCGGATCTTATAGAGTGGTGTTACAGAATCACAAAGGGCATTTAAAATCTTCCAACTGCAGCAACAACTGAAATGAGTAGCACATGTGACTAAAAGGGAAGATAATATAATCGTTATGTTGACTTCTGTTGACTTAGGAAGGCAACGACTCATCAATAAAAAGAAAGAGCAATAACAGTGGACTTGAGGAACCTATTTTCTTGAAAAATTGTTTTAAGAGAAAGATTTTACAAATTTCAACCAACAGCAACGCTGACTGTTCGGTCAAGGAATGCTGAATGTTTCTTTATAAGGAAACGGTTTGCATTACAAGTCACATATTAGTTTCTCCGGAACATTATGACGTGTTTTTTTTTTATATTGACAGTTATACTTAAAGCAAACTTAAGCTTTTACTGCAAGTAGGTTCTTAATTTAATAATTGTACTTTTATAGTTCTCTAATTTTTACAGGTTGGCGTTACTAACCTCGGAAAAATGGGCAAAATGTATGATTTTTGAGTCGGCTTTGAAAATTGAACGAAAGCTACTGAAACGGAACGCAGTATCAATTTGGCCAAAGATCGCTTCCTGTTGGTACTGTTGCGTGTTAATTTTAGAGAATTTGAACATTTAGGGTGGAAGCAACTCTTTAATGATTATATACTAAGAGTGTAGTAAATGTAGACAATAATACGCTCATTGACGTGTTACAAGCAAATCAAACATTTTTATCCGTCAGTGTACAATTATAACAAGCAGAAAGATGGAGAAGCAGATTTCACAATAGGAATGAAAATTGTCCATTTCTTGGGCAGACATTAACACACGAACCGGTATTTATTCTAACTGCGCTTTGATAATGCCATTATTCAATATTTGATTGATTGATTAGGTTTTTATGGCTTATTCAGTATTTGGTCGATTGATTGATTTTTACGGCTTATCAACTTTTTGCAGGATGTTTAAAGCCAGAAAATATTTTGAGATTGTAAGAATTTGTAGAGATAATAACGATTTACTGATACACGTCCTACTAATTAATCCATAGATGAGGGGAGAGAAGAGGTGGATTCATACTTTTCCCAAGAGCCTTTGGGCTTAAGTGAATATAACGAACCCAACTGGAATTGGAACTCGGCTCTTTGATTTCCAATTCCGAGTCGTTAGCCATTACACCATCCGCACATCCAAGCTTACAGCATCTGTTATTTCCAAGCGGTCACCCATCGTGGTACTGACCAAGATCGACGTTGGTTGACTTTGGTGATCTTACGGGTACTGGTGTTTCAACGTGATCGGAAAGATGGATAAGCAGATTTCACAATAGGAATGAAAATTGTCCATTTCTTGGGCAGACATTAACACACGAACCGGTATTTATTCTAACTGCGCTTTGATAATGCCATTATTCAATATTTGATCAACGTAAGTAAGCATTTAGGTACTAATAAGTATTTATTTTATATATTGATAAAACATGAAGTAAGTAAAAATATTAGACGCAATGCATATACCTATAATTTATCTTTTATTGATTCGTCTTGCAAACGGAGAGGTAAGAATATTTTCTATTTGTTGCAGGCCCGCGGAAGAATCTTGCACAAAACCAGCACGTTCTGTCAGACTGGCTACAAGTGAAAGTCTAGCAACTGGAGGCAATTCCATTAAAAAAAACAAAAACAAAAAAAAAAAACTAGAGACACGCGGACACACACACACACACACACACACACACACACACACACACACACACACACACACACACACTAAAACTGTAAATTCTTGCTGTAACTCCGGGAGTAGAGCATTTATTCTATTCAGGTCAACCATATTTAATATTCCTTCGCTGGAGCAGCAGGCCACTACAAACTACTCTTTCATCTTTCAGGCGAAGAAAAAAAAAAAGAATGTATGTCCTTGAGACTTCATTCCCATCATTTCATTTCCTTGGTCCATAGCACGCGAACTCGTGGCTTAAAGTGGGAGGACGGTTCTGTACATGCAACGTTTCATTAGTGCATATCCGTAGGCTATTCCATGCATCTTAATCCAGCCGAGATTCTGTTTCACATGTAATAAACCCTTCACGATGTGCTTTCACGAAACCAAGCCATATTCAAGAATCTGTACGTTATACACACACACTAACACAGACACACACGTATACACACACACACATGAGCTATTTGTATGAGAGAAGATTTTACAAAATTGTTGATTTTTAAAACTGGCAAATTCAAACCATTTTTCGTTTCTTAGTTCACCACAAAAGCAAGTAGTTGGAACTAGTTGCACCGATCTTTCAAGTAGGAAGTGACTGCTTACCTTAATAATCAGCTTTCGAAAAGTATGCCCTTATCTGCATTCGAACATCAAATTCTATCACTGGTAATCAATATGCAACTATCTGACTAAGCACAAAACAGGCTCAATATGCTGAATTCTCTCTTACAATGATTCTAAATTTATTCGTACAACCTAGCAATGGGATTACTAAGGCTTTCTTATATTTCTTTATTGTAGATTTATGTATATGTATGTTGCTATAAAAAAATTATTCTTAAAAGATGAACTTTTATCAGCTTATGTATGGTGAAATGAAAGTCAAAATAATAGCGGTGTCAAGGGAAAAAACCGTCCTTATGACGCACCTTTTTATTGCGGGTACGAAGCTTAAAGATTCAACTATTTCGAGTTTTTCTTTACATTAATGCTATATAGTATTTTAATATTATTTACTTGTATTTGTTTAATATTAAGTCATATTGTAATCTCCTGTGATGCATTCATCGATGATAAATCATGTGACCTTTAACGGACTAACTTAAGAAATCAATTGTATATCGTTTATAGTATCAAACCGTTCTATACATAACATCAATTGCATTCGAAGTTTTTTTCATTCATTAATTTCTTTAGGCCCATTAGTGTCGATAACATTTTAGATAATCGCTCTTCATCCATAGTTGGTGAACTCTATTGTGTTTTTTTTTTTTTTTTCTCTAACAGGCGTAATATCCACACCTGGTGTTTAACTATCATTTTACAACTTCAGGTGGTTGAACTTTGAATTCAAAGTTCTTCTTCTCCTAGATTGGTTGCAAACGACATTTAGAGAACCCATTGTGCCCTGCTATTTAACCATCTGAAGAGATGGATTCATGTTTTCTCAAGGGGATTTATGTGAAAGTGAATGTAAAGAACTCTAACAGAATTCGAACACGCATCGTCGATTTCTGAGCCGTTAGCCATTTCACTACGCATCCTGATTATATAATTATAACGTTTTTTAAAACTGCCAATAAGAAATTAATAGAAATTTTTTCCTCGTTATAATTGACAATATTCGTGTTCTTGATAACAACTAGCAATAAGAACATTATCCTCTTGAACAATTTCTTTCTTACTGTGATCTGGATGCAATTGTAATTATACGCCAACTGAAAACATAATAAAAAAACAAAATGAACAATGTGAGTAAAATTCAAAATTGAACATAACTTAAGATCTATCTATCAGACCTATCATACTTGTCGCCTGCAAAAAACTGATAGTCGTAGTCGGTCGTGTGTACGCCGATTTATATATATATTATATATATATATATATATATATATATATATATATTTAGGCAGCAATCAATCCTTCCTTTATGCATGTTTCATTAAAACGACAGACAAGGTACTATGGTTGAGCTTTTATTTAATTTTTCTTGTGTTCTGACAAGAGCTTTTCTTTTCTGGACAAAGAGTGTGTAAGAACTGTCCGAATGTTCTGTATTTCGAGCGCTTTCGGCTATACCTTTAGCCATTATCAAGGATGATTCAATTATCAGCTTAGTAGAGTTGTGCATTCTGTGTATGTTCAGTGTGTGGTAGTGATGTTTTTAGTTTCCGAATACGGTTAGCACATTGTGGCTTTTGTTCATAGTTAATATTGTTAAGAGTTGGCTTTTTTCTTTTTATTATTAGAGCTTCCATTATTTTTAGCCGAAAATATATATATATATATATATATATATATATATATATATATATATATAAAGAAAGAACAGTAAGGTATATAATCCGGTGTTCTTATAGATATTTTTATTTTTACAAAATAGTGCTCAATGTAAATTTACAGAGCATTAATATTATAAATTAATTGATTTAAAATATGTTTTTTTTCCGCTACACAGTTCTAACCATGTTTCAAAAATGGAAGCTAAAAGCCACGAATTTAATTTTGCAATTAATTAAATTAAAGACATTATTCCATTTCATCCTCAAGCGAATTTTGGAGTAACTTTTAAAATTACTGGGTTTTAAATACACAGCTAAAATCACGTTTCCATGGTTACATATATATATATATATATATATATATATATATATATATATATATATATATATATATATATATATATATAATTTCATTAAAAACGACTGACAAGGTACTGACGTTAAATTTTTAATTTAATTTTCTTGTGTTAGTATATATATATATATATATATATATATATATATATATATATATAGTTTCACTAAAGACGACTGACAAGGTACTGACGTTAAGTTTTTAATTTAATTTTCTTGTGTTAGTATATATATATACAGTAGCGTCCAAAACTAAGGGACAACATTTTTAAACCTAATATTTGTTAGAAATAACAACTGTGAAAAGCTGAAATTTTGACAACTGGTAGTCGTTATCATCCATAATAACATACTAAAATTTGAATCATTTGCAAAGGATAGAAAAAGAATTATAACAATTATTTATTTATTTTCAAATTTGGAACGTCCAAAAGTAAGGGACATAATTGAGAAAAACAATGTAAACAGTATGCTATATTCAATTTTTTTTTTATTTCCTCTAAAGAATAAGTCTTACTTAGTCATTTGTAAACGTTGCATCAGCCGGCACCATGGCGAAACGCCAAAAACTTGATTACTCTGTGAGACAAGCTACTGTGAAGCTACACAAGGAAAAGCACACCATTAGAGAGATTACAGAGAAAGTGAAACGTTCCAAGAGTGTTGTAGGCAGGGTTGGTAAATCCTACAATGATACTGGCAAAATAGTTAGTGCTTTTAAAACCGGCAGACCCCGCAAAAACAAGAGAAAATCGAATAATGCAGTGTATGTCATTAAAGGACCGTTTTAAGTCTTGTACAGAAATTAAAAGGGTTATGAATAGTACCTCATGTGTTAATGTGTCAAGACAGACTGTTTGTAGATGACTGCAAGAAATAGGGCTGTTTAATCGAACCCCAGGGAAGAAACCACTTGTTAGTTCGAAGAATAAGAAGAAGAGATTAGAGTTTGCAAACAGGTATGTAATTTGGACATATGAAAATTGGGCAAAAAAGTATTTTCAGTGATGAAAGCAAGCTTAATTTATTTGGAAATGATGGAAAAAGCAATGTAAAGAGACATATTGGTGAAAGATTAAGTGCAAAGTGTACTAAGAAAACTGTCAAGTTTTGGGGCGGAAGCGTCATGGTATTTGGAATGTTTTCTAGCCAAGGTACAACGCCTCTTGTCCGGTTACAAACTCATGTAAACGCGCAGATCTATAAAAACATTGTTCAAGATCATGTTGTGCCAATCATACAGAATTCAGGTTTCGATAGGGCTACCTTTATGCAAGATAATGCCCCCCATGTCACAAGGCAAAGGTGGTAATGAGTTACCTTAGCGAGCAAGATTTGGAAATTATGGATTGGCCACCGCAAAGTCCTGACTTAAATCAATAGAAAATCTTTGGAAAACCTTAGGAGGAAAGTTATAGAAAGAAATCCCACTAACACGGAGGATTTGTGGGTGAAGCTTCAAGAAGAATGGTCTAAAATTAGTATCGAGGATTGTCAAGAACTGATTCGTTCTTGTAGTCGAAGAATGCAGCTGTCATTGAGAGCAAGGGCTCATTTACTAAATATTGATTGTACATGTATTTTTATTGTTTTTTGCCGTTTACATTGTTTTTCTCAATTTTGTCCCTTACTTTTGGACGTTCCAAATTTGAAAATGAATAAATAATTGTTATAATTCTTTTTCTATACTTTGCAAATGATTCAAATTTTAGTATGTTATTATGGATGATAACGACTACCAGTTGTCAAAATTTCAGCTTTTCACAGTTGTTATTTCTAACAAATATTAGGTTTAAAAATGTTGTCCCTTAGTTTTGGACGCTACTGTATATATATATATATATATATATATATATATATATATATATATATATATATATATATAGTTAAACCTAAGCCAGACAAACCTACCAAGGTTTCACCTAAGCGGATC